CCCCCCCCCAGCTGCACCTTCAGCGGCAGGGTGGCCGGTCTCTTAAAGGGGCCAGGCCCTAACTGCCAACTTGGGCAAATTCTGCTACTGCTGAAATGAACTTTGCTTCTCTGGGCACTTAGTCACTGAGGCTTTATTATTTTCAAAGGAAGCTTCTCAAGAATGCACAGCTCTTAACACTTCACACCTTAAAGTCACCTTTCTGTAGGCAGCTGATTTCACTGACTTCGTGCCTGATGTCATGACGAAGGACAGTGCTAGCCAGATGGCACTGGCTACCGGGGCCCTGTGAGGGGAAGGCTGGGTGTGCACAGGAGCCTGAGGGGCAGAGGTGCTGCGTGCAGGTGTCGGCTCCTGCCTGTGTGGCCCTGCCAGCAGGAAGAGCAGCTTTTCTCGGAGAGGTTGCTGGGAACAGAGGGAAGGCTGAGCACCACCTCAGGAGCCCTGCCTCTGGCCATCCCGTCCCTGACATCTGGTTCAAACTGCCATTTTTTTTTTTATTTTGTAAATTGTCCATGGAGCTGTTTAAATCTCATATCCACAGATACTCTGTGTGTTGAACGTAGTGAAAATTTGGAGAAGTCATATGTTTCTGTTTTTGTTTTTTAGAAGACANTCAAACTGCCATTTTGATTTTATTTTGTGAATTGTCCATGGAGCTGTTTAAATCTCATATCCACAGATACTCTGTGTGTTGAACGTAGTGAAAATTTGGAGAAGTCATATGTTTCTGTTTTTGTTTTTTAGAAGACNTTTTTTTATTTTGTAAATTGTCCATGGAGCTGTTTAAATCTCATATCCACAGATACTCTGTGTGTTGAACGTAGTGAAAATTTGGAGAAGTCATATGTTTCTGTTTTTGTTTTTTAGAAGACAAAAAGGAGCCTCCAGAACTCCTTTGTAACACAGCCAGCCTCAGCCAGCAGTCAGAGACTGACCTCCAGTGGCTCACAGGAGCCTTCACTGTCAGCGAGGTTTTGTCCCGGCACCACTGTGACAGGACAGTTAGGAGGGTCCCTTCCCGAGTCCTGCCCATGGGAGGCTGGGAGGGCCAGTGGCGGGCCTCCGCCTTCGCAGCCCACCTCGTGGGGAAGGGGCAGGCCCCCCACTGCGCCTGCGGAGTGGACGGTGGCCACGTGCGCCTCTTGCTCCTGTTCCTACCCACGCAAATTAAACCTGAAAGAGGGGAAAGGAAATAAAACTCAAATTCTTTAGCCCAGATCTCTCCAAAGTTGTGAACCTGGCTCAGTGTCAGGCCAAGATGCTTGGGAAGAGGTGTCATCTGGGCAGAGAGCTTAGGGTTACACAATACTAAAGATGCCCTGGGGACATGCTGTTCCTGTCCCCCAGGAGCAGAGCCAGGCGGAGCAGGTAGAGTCGCTTCTGTGCAGCTCCGCCCTCCAGGTGCCCGGGACACGTGCCGACAAAGTGTGTGAGGTCCCCAGGCGCAGGGACGCTTAGCACCAGCCGACTTTTAAAAGCATGTTTCCGGTTAATCCGTCTGTTACAGCTCATGCTGCCAACATGTCGATAACATGAGCGAGCGGCTCACATTCACTTTTGCCTTCGGAAATACATTAAATCACTTATGAAACCCAGTTCCCATGAAATGTCCCTCGGGAGTGCTGACTCCAGAAATGTTATCAAGGAGCATAAAGTAGATTATAGTTTTGATTTCCAAATGAATGTATTCTAATTTACTAGGTTAATTGTATTTTTTCCTAGTTAAACCTCTTCACTCAGTCTAACTCGAGAGTTTTTGAATCACACAGTTTTAACAGCATTCTCAACCAGCCAACACGTTACCAGGTAAGCGTTCGTTAGCCCTCTCTCTGCCTGTGTCCTGTGTGTGTGTGTGTGTGTGTGTGTGTGTGTGTGTGTGTGTGTGGTGTGAGGGGGTTTCTATTATTCGGATAAACTCTGAGCATAGGCTAAAACAACGTATGTTCAATTATGGAGGGAATTTTATAATTCAGAGTCCAAGTTCTTTATTTTTTTAGAGGAGAAAGGAGAGGTTTTTGCTGTATTGAAAGCAAAGTATTGCCACAATTTCCCAAGGACACTTATACCTTGAGCTGGAGAAAGCAGGGGAGATATGGAATATTTGGAAAATAAGGCTCTAATTCATTTGTCCAGGTTTTCCTTCCGGGTGACCCATTGCTCGAGTGGATTTTTAGGCTATACTGTGTCCTCAGTACCGCTTTAAAATACCTCCTGCATTTCGATTATCCATGTGACGTTTGGACACTGTTCCCCAGCTCAGAAGAGGCTGTAGGTTTCTGCTTTCCGTCTGGGCGGTCACTTTTGATTATCCAGTCTTTAGATTTCTGATGTGTACAAGATCACAGCAATGAGGGGCAAGGAATTTATAATGTGTGGTGGTGGCAACGAGTGACTGTAGTTCTCTTCATGCAATTTTCTTGGAAGCAGCATATTCTGCAAACTTGCCTGGCGTGCTGATTGCTAACGCCTGACTTTTTAATGGTTATGTTGTATTCCATTATATGGTTGTACTTCATTTGTCAGTCTTCTGTGGGTGGAAGTGGAGGCGGCTGCCAACGTGGAGCTGTTACAAGCCATGCTGCAGCGAGTCACCTTATATACGCGACATTTAAAACGTGCAGATCTGTGGCGTTGTGTGGCTAAAGTACAAGCGCATTCTAGTTTTTTAACTTTTATCAAACTGATTTTAATAGGATGTGTACCAATTTACATTCTTAAAATAAATGTATGAGAGTGCCCGTATCCACTTTAATTTTCCAACAGCATGTTACCACTGGTTCTTATCTTGCCCAGAAAGGGGAAAATGGTATCACAGTGTAGTTTCACTTTATATTCTTTATCCTCAATGAACTTGACCATCTCCTTACATTTATTCTATATGCTTAAGATCCAATATATATTTGCCTTTCTTGATGGGCTTTTAGCTATAAATTAAAAGGAATTCTTTATGAAAATCAATCCTTTGTCTGTGATATGAATCAAATTTTTCCTCCAGTGTGTTGTCTGTCTTTTTAATGTTTATGGATGGCTTTCCCCCCAGCTTTTTTTATTTTTGTGTAGACAACTTTACATATTTTTTATGACTTCAGGTTTTGCATCCTGTTTACAAAGATCTTTCACCATTTTTTAAAAAATTCTACCTATATTTTCCTTAGTACTTCCATGGTTTAACTTTTTACATGAAAATATTTGATCCACATAGAATATTGATGCAACATGTGAGATGGGGATTCAAATTTACATTTTTTCCACATGATTATATCCCTGGGCATTTTTTTGACTGGTTTAAAACACAGCCTTTAGCTCTGGCTGGTGTGGCTCAGTTGGTGGAGTGTCATCCCATGCACCAAAAGGTCCCCAGTTCAATTCCCCATCAGGGCACATGCCCAGGTTTCGGGCTAGATCCCTAGTAGGGGGCGTGCAGGAGGTAGTCAGCTGATGGATGTTTCTCTCTCTCTCCCTCTTCCTTCCCCTCTCCCTAAAATCAACAAAAACATTTAAAAAAAATAATAAATACTGTTATAAAATCTTTAAAAAATAATAAAAATAAATACTACCTTTATCATTTACTAAAGTCCTGTATCTATTTAGAATATATTCCTAGGCTTTCTCTGCTGTAGAACCACATTATTCTAGTTATTATACTTTAAAATCAAACAAATAAAACACACCTACTCACATATCCTTACTTCAGGACTCTTATTTTACATAATTTTTCTGTCTCTTTCTTGTTTATTTATTTGAACTTTAGAGTCAGCCTGTCCAGTTTGCAAAATATCCTGTTGGTATTTTTATTGTGATTGTGTTCATACTGTCCTGTCTTCTCTTCAAGAACATAAATTTCTTTCTCACGTTCAAGAAGTCAGGCGGTGGTCGTTCCAGGGCTGGTCCCTAACAAGGTCAGGGACCCAGGCCTGTTCTGTCCTGTCACTCTGCCGTGACTGTCTCTCATTCTGACGTGATCTCAGTCTGGCCGAGAAAGCTATTGGAGCGCCGGCTACTGCTTCTGCATTCCAATATNTGTGATCTCAGTCTGGCCCAGAAAGCTATTGGAGCCCCGGCTACTGCTTCTGCATTCCAATATAATTAGAGGGTAATGGGGAAGAAAGATATGCCTCCCTCCTGGAAGGAACTTCTATTAAACTTACACAGATGACTTATCTGCAATGGAAACTGGAAAATCAGGTTTTAATTCCAAGTGGCCTTGTGCCAAGCTGAAAACAACAGCAGCAGCAGCAATAAAACCAGGCCAGCTGATTGTTATTGGCTTATAGTTGACCTGAGGTTGAGGTTTGAATGACCCAGATTTTTTTGTTTGTTTATCTTTTAAATCCAATAACTTGCTATGGATTGTTCTGTAGGTAGATCTGTGCGAATTTTTCTGGCGCACAGTCTGGCCGTTCGATCTGCACATTTTAGTCTTCTTTTACCTCTGAATAATTTTCTTGAATTGAATCTTGAGAGATTGTTTCTGTTCCATTATTTGGGGTTTCTGCTTCAAAGATACCAATCAGGTGCCTGCTGGACCTTTGCCTGTCTTCCATACCTACCACTTTTTCCTCTATTCCTTTCGAGTTTTCATCCATTTTCCCTTTTGGTTTCTTTTTTTCTTATACTGTATTTTATCCTGTCTGCCTTCATGCAGGCTGCTACTAATATACCTTTCATTTCTGTGAAGATTTTATTTTTTTCCGTCTTGAAAATTTTCAGCTTATATATATCATTTTTATCTCACTGAGTACTTCTGGCAAATAATGACATTTCTTTATAACGTCTCCTTCAACCCTGTATCCTAAGCTTCTGTAGACTTTGTATTGCAAGGTCAAGGGACATTCTTGGCCACGAGTGTCTGCTCTTAACGTTTCCCCACACCCCCAGTTGACCTTGTCATATGACCTTTCTAAAAGAGGGTAAGGATGCCACTAAGTTCCGTTAAAGAAGGAGTTTGTGGGGTGTGTGTTTTTTTTCCTGTTTATCATTCTCCGTGTTGCTTTTGAGTAATTTAGAAGAGAAATTCCCAAATTCACTGTCAAACTCAAACTTCTTGTGCTGAAAATTGTTATGCTTCTAAATGAGATGATCCTTGCTAAATGCCTGGAGACTCCAGAATCCTGTACATTTAATGTTGTTTAAGGAGAAGGATCCCCTAGGCCTGTGGTGTAATCTTCTGTGCCTCCCAGAAGGTGACAGTAGAAAAAGAGAAGCTCTGAGGGAAAAAATTCTCAATCAGCTCTACACACACCAAGCAAGCTTGACATAAAGGTCTTGATAATATTTAGATAAAATCTCTTTATAATGGACTCCATGAGTGATAACAAGAGTGGGTTTAGTTGTTACGGGTTTTTAATGCAGTGTGATTATAATAGATGACTTACCTTAAGGAAATTCCAGATCTTAATCTGCCAAATGGGGATTTTTCCTTTAAAGTGGCCACTTTTGGGATATACCAATTCTAATATTGCTGCCACAATTCAGAGCATTTCTGGAGCATCTCTAAAGGATTACCTAGTACAATGGAAATGGCTAACCTCGGCCCCCTGTTAGAGCTGCAGGGCATTTTGGAATTCACATGAGTTGTCTTTCCAACGTGAACTAAGGGATGGACTGTTTCCAGGTAATACCACAAGTGGGGAACCTGATTTCAGTCCAACATGCGGTGTCTTCCTGCCTCGTAGAAAGGCTCAAATTTGGTGGATGAGTATATTTAAGCTGTAAAAAGGTGGAAATTTTTGTGGGACACCTGGAAAGTCGAAAACACATCTAATTTTGAAGAGTAAAAATGTCAGCTTGTAACCATAATTTTCCCTGCAGCTTAAAGATGAAATGGAGATAAGTATGCCTTCCTGTTTTCCCTTCAAGGAGGGGCTGAAATATGAGAGACTTTGTTCAGGGTGCTTCTAGGGAGCCTGAATTTTTAAAATATTTTCTTTTATTATTATTATCCGTCCTGGCCATAAATGTTAGTTTCCATAGACTTTTTCTAGCATGGTTTCAGATAATATTACATAAACATTTTAGAAAGATTGCGCTAGGGAGTGTAGATATGTTAGTCTTCAAGTTTTATCTTTACAAGTACTACTAACAAGAGCTAACCTTTTCTAAGAAGGAACCATTGCTTTTACATGCATTTGATTATTTAATCTGCACAACTTATGAATTGAGTTTTATTACCCCCATTAAATAGATTAGAAAATGGAAGCTTTAAGAGTTTAAACAACTTCTGTTCACTCAGCTAGAAAATAAAGGCCTGTATTCAGCAAGAGGCCAAAGGGCAGGCATCTTTTCACCTGAGCTAGCTGTAGGTTGTAGTTGCTTCCTCGTATTGTTCCCTTCTGCCCTAACAGTGACCAAATTTCTGTGTCCTCTGTGTGGCAGGCACCAAAGGGCTGCCTCTCTGGCTGGGCAGGGGCGTGTTTAAGGCTTTGAAAGGCTCGGTGGGCTGCTTGCCTTCTGCCCAGCTCCCTGACCTGGAAGCCTGGCTCTGACTGGAGGTGGATCCAGTTGTCCCTTTTCCATAAGGATAGCCATTGTCCCAGTCCCATCTATTGAATAGACTACCCCTTACCACTGATGTGTATTACTGCCTTGCGCGCAACATGGTGGAAATTTATGTTTGTCAGATAATGAAAACAGGCTGATCTGATGGCTGTTTCTTCTTATCTTGGTTCTTTCTCTCTCTGACAATTGCCAGAAGCAGGTCAGCAAGTCTGCTGGAGTAGGCATTTGATTGGGAGCAGGATGCCTGGCTCTCTTTGTTTAGGGAGCCCTAATCTTCATGAGTGATTGCCTTGAATTTCCCCCTTCCCTTGGCTTGGCAGGGGGTGGGGGACACCCCCTCCTTCCCATGCAGGGAAGGGAGAGAATAACCTCTCTCCCCCCAAAACTCATGGTCCCTCCCATGTCTCAGTCTTTTTCCTCATGGGGGTGGTGAGTTCACTGCTGATCTAGTGATTGTCACTAAGGCCTGAGGGGAGGTGACTGGCCCCAACTGCTAGCAGCAACCTGTCTTAGACCATGGGGTAGTTAGCAACCTTTGTCATCATCAGTTTTGGGTTTACCAACAATTCCAGGACAATAGGAAAAATCCCATTTGAAATAAAGTTACATTTCTTAGGTTTCCCTTTCTTGTATAAAAGGTTTAAATTGTCTTAATATAGTCAGGTTTATCTATCTTTTCCGGATGGTTTACCCTTTCTATTAGCCTTTTCAAGAAATATTTCCTATTCCTTTAAAAGTTTTTGCTTGTCACATTTAGGTCTGTTGTCCATTTGCACACACACCCTCCGTTTTTTGTGTATGGTGTGAGGTAGAGATCTAAATTTAACTTTCCCTCAGGGATAGTCCATTGTCTTAGCACTATTTGCTGAACATGGTCTCTTCTTCAAGATACCTTAACTGATACACATTTCTTTCTATAGGAATCTGCCTTCACTGTCCCCTAAACTTAATTATATCACTGATATGTTCACCCATCATAGGGAATTGTTCCAGTGAAGTTGCACTGGAGTAGGGACTGTGTTCATTGTTGCATCCCGAGTAGTTGGTTCACTACCTGGCACAGAATTGGCTTCCAATAAATATTTGGTCCATGAATGAGTTCAGGCTAATATCCACCCAGCCATGAGTCTGTCCTGCAGTCTGGATTCCACAGAATTCAACTGGTTTTATGTTTTACTGTGACTGCTAAGGTGGGGTTTTCCCTTTCCATAGCATGAGTGCCTCCTGATCTGTCGTCATTCTCTGAGACAGACCTTTCGGATCATCCCAGATCCTTTTACTTGGCCTTGGCATCTGATGCGTCACTTAGGTTCATGATTTCTACTTCCTTAAAACAGGTATATTTTTCATTCTCACTATACAGTAGCCCCTCCTCATCTGTGGTTTCACTTTCCGAAGTTTCAGTTACCTGCCATCAACTCCAGTCCAAAAATATTATATGTAAAATTCCAGAAATAAACAATTTATAAATTGAACCATGTGTGTTCCGAGTAACACAATGAACTCTCTTGCCATTTTCCTCCATCCCACCCAGGACATGAGTCATCCCTTTGTCCAGCATAGATGTCCTCACCGGTTAGTCACTTAGTAGCCGCCTCAGTTGTCAGATAGACTGTCCGGGTATCACAGTGTTTATCTTCAAGTCACCCTGATTTTACTTCATATCGGCCCCAAAGTGCAAGAGTAGCGATGCTGGCAATCGGGATGTGACAGAGAGAAGCCGTGACGTGCTTCCTTGAAGGGAAAAAGTGGAAGTTTTCCACTTAGTAAGAAAAGAAAAAAAAGCATATGCTGAGGTTGCTAAGGTCCATGGTAAGAATGAGTCTTCTCTCTGTGACATTGCCTCATTTTTAAATTAAACTTTATTTTAGGTTTCTATGCATGGGAAAAACCAGTGCATATACCGTTTAGCACTATTCCAGTTTCAGGCATCCACTGGGAGGTCTTGGAAGCAATCCCCCACGGGTAAGGGGGGACTACTGTGTCTTTTAGTTCAGGCCATTTTTTCCTTTCCTCTATTATCTTTTTGTGATGTTTGATATATGCAGAAGAATATGTGTAACATAATAAATCATGAGGTATAATTAGCTGCGCCTTCTACCTGGGAAGAACCTTGTCTGCCCATCACCTCTACAGTAGGCGCTCTCCCTGGCCCACACCCTTGCCTCCCGGTAATTCTAGCCTGAAGTTTGGGTTTCTCAGCCTCTCACTTTGGATTTCTTTTCAAATAAAGGCTTATTGCTTATATAGATAATCCTAAAAATGCATTAGGTAGGCTGACTTCTTACTGAGCTTTATAAAGATGATTTCCTACTTTGTGAATTCAGTTTGAATTTTCCATTCAATGTTTATGCTTCTAAGATTCATCTATATTGTTGTGAGTAGCTATGGCTCATTAATTTTGTTAGTGAACACAATGACATTATATTGTGTAGCTTACCATGATTTGTCTAGTCTCCTGTTGATACTTGTTTAGGTTGTTTTCAGGGTGTTTTTGCTATTTGGGACAAGATTGCTGTAAACACTGTTTATGTCTCTCGGTCCACACACACACATGAAGTTCCTCTTGGTGCTAGACCAAGGAGTGGACTTTCAGTGGGAGGCCATGCAAATGTTCAACTCTAAAAGAAAATTCCAGATTGTTTTTCAGAGTGGCCTATTTATGCTCATGCCACTAAAGCAGTGATTTTCAGCCACTGTACCTAAGGCAAGAGTTGTTAAAACAGGCAATACCTGTCGAGTCAGGGACGCTGATCTCTTCTCCCTTAGATTGTCAAATTAAAAAATGACAACAGCCAACACAACCGTAGTTGTCCATGTGGATAAATCAAAGTTGTACCTATTTTTTTTTGGTCAGATTGGCAAAAAAATGTAATACATTTTTTGGTGCGCCACAGAATTTTAGTAATTAGTTTATGCGCCGTGAGATAGAAAAGGTTGAAAACGGCTGCACTGAAGTGTAAAATCCCATTGACCCCTATCCTTTCCAACGTTTGCCATTATAAGATTTATTATTTTTCTCTTTTTTAAATGTAAAATTGTATCTCCTGTTGATTGTAATTTGTATTTTCCCATGAAAAGAGTTGAGGATTGTTTTATATGCTTATGGACCGTTCACGGTTCCTTTTCTGTGAAGTGTCTTGTCTTTGCTCATTTGTCCACTGGGTTGTTTTTCATATTGAATTAAAATTCTTCATAGATTTTGGATCCAAGTTTATTATCAGTTACAAGTACTGCAGATATTTCCTCCAGCTTGTGGCTTGCCTTTCCACTTTCTTCATGGCGTCTTCATGGCAGAAATTTTAATTGTAACAAAGTTGAGGTTATCAATCTTCTCTGTTGTAATTAGAATTTGTATCTTACTAGAAAAGATACAGCTCTACACTGGATTCATAAACATACTCACCTATACTGTCCTTTACTGAATTTAAAAGCTTTGTCTTTCCCATTTAAGATGCATGTGGAATTAATTTTTGTGTGCATGGTATGAAGTAGGGCTCCAGTGTAATTTTTTCCATATGGATAAATAATTATCCCTTAAGAGTATATATTTAGATTGAATGTATTTGTACTATATCTTGTTACAAAAAGAAAAGTTACAACATAATAGAATATATGGTATTTAGAAAAACATAAAACACAATGCCTATAGTAATTAGTATATATACAAAATTTAAAGAAAAGGTATTGGAAGGACATACACCAAAATAACAACAGAGCTTCTCTTTGGATGGTGGGATAATTGATAACTTCGTTTATTTTTATTTTTTGTTTTTCTCTGTATTTTCCAAATTCTCTCTACTGAGCGTAGATTCAGGGGGTTTTTTGGGTTTTTTTGGTTTTTTTAAAACAAGAATGAGAACTAAGGTAGGTAGATGACAATGTAGTGTCAACACACCTTAAAGAGAAATCATGTTGGAAAGAGAAACCACGAATTGAAATCTTCCAGCTTACCCTTTTTCAGCAGCTTCCCCTGTTCCCGGGGGTGGGGTGGGTGTTTGTGAATTATGCCGTCAGGCTCAGTAGAGGGTGGGAAAGGGTCAAGCGCCGAGACCTGGGTGGCTCTTCCGTCAGTGGTTCTGTGCACTTCCTCTGCCCCCAGCTGTCGCTTTACAGGCGTGTCAGGCTCCGAGGAGACTAGGACCCAGGTCACATGCATCGTTGGTGACGGAGTCATTTCTTCTCTCCCAACAGCAGATCATGAAAAGGCTGATAAAGCGCTACGTTTTGAAAGCACAAGTAGACAAAGAGAATGATGAAGTGAATGAAGGTAAGCGTCCCTAGGTCAAGAGAGGGCCTCGCCCTGGCCGGTCTCCTCAGTGGTTAGAGCATCGGCCTGCGGACCGAAGGGTCCCGGGTTCGATTCCGGCCGGGGGCATGCACCTCGGTTGCAGGCTCGGCCCTGCCTTAGTCGGGGCCCGTGCGGGAGGCAACGGGTGGGTGTGTCTCTCTCACCTCGATGTTTCTCTCTCTCCCTCTCCCTTCCGCTGTCCCTGAAAAGCAGTGGAGGGAATATCCTCAGATGAAGTTTAAAACACACACAAAAAACAAGAAACACCCTTGTACAAGGAACATAATGACCTTGGGAAAACTTCACATTGAAGGATACTTTAAAAATCCAATCTCTGGTGACAGTTTGGGTCCCTCCAAGATGGACAGGAGACTCTTATGTTACATTTCTAAAATTCTTATCTTTTTAAAATGTCAAAATGAGCGACAATTTCTCTCTCCTCACAATGCCCTGATTCTTAGAATGGGAAGTCTGCTGTGTTTCCTTTTAATTCCCTAACATATAAGATAGTCAGGAGTTCCAGTGAGTTCACATGAGAGTCAACAGTCTTCCAGTGATGCAGGTAAAATGATGGGGGGCTCAGACAGAATCCACACTTCAGAAAAATGTTTATTTTGTTGTCCAGAAAGAAATCTCTAACCGATTTTTCCCACCTTTTTTTTCTCTTGCCTTTCATGTTTCTCCTTGGCTCCTTACTTAAACATGCCTATTTTTCCAGGTAAATCCTAGGCAGGGCTTCTGTGTGAACTATAAAAGTTTTTATCAAATGCTGGGGCGTAGGCCAACGCAGCAGCCAGAGTTGAAAAGAAATCAACCTGGAGAAATAAGTTGAAAACCATAGTTTATAACACCAGTGAGATGCCACTAGACCTGCCTCACTGATAAGAGAAAAAAGAGCTCAACTCGACCAAACCGTTGCTGAGCTTTGAAGCCAGTACTTGATTAGGGCGAGGGGGCCCTTGCAAATCTGAGCCAATCCAATCAATGGCATGTGTTTGTAGAAGAGAAATCTATAAATATGTGAATGAGAAACCAGCAAAAATCCAACCATGGGGACCCCGAAACAGTCTGAAGGAGACCGGAGTGGAATGGGGCTGTAGATTAGCAAGCGGAATCCCCGTCAGTGGTGCCGTAACTCCCTGAAAACAAAACAGCAGCTAAGTGGCGGGACAGCGTCAAAAACCAGGAGGCCTCTCCCCAGCCTGCGCAAAAGAGGAAAACGAATGAGTGAGAACTGGCATTTTGAACAGAGTTCTGAGAAAGTATATCCTATATCTGAACCTCCTCATTTAATAAATGAAGGTGAAGTCCAGAGGTGGGGTGATTTGTGTTTCCTGAACTGGCAGGATGGACAGACACAGCCCTTAGCGCCCAGTCCCCCGTCACTCAGGAGCCAGGGAGAAGGAGGTGGCGGCAGGGAGGCGAGCGGGGCCCCGGGTCGCCTGAGTGGTGTGAGAATCCCTTTCTGCCACCAAGGACAGGCTGTGTGGGATTTGGTTTCAAACTAGATCCCTTTGCTCCCTCTGTGCTGCCAAATGCAAAGGGAAAAACCACTTCTTTTTTTTTTTTTTGCTACAAAGGAACCTGAACATGTTTTGTGTGTGTTCTTGAGGAAGAGTTAGAATTCCTTAAAATGAAAAGGTTCTTTCATATAACTAGAGAATGTAGAAATGATACTCAAAAGACACCATAAAGATACCAGGAAATGTGAAAGGTGTATTTTACATGCGGTTCTCGTAAAAAGCTGTTCAAGTGCCAGTGATTTGAAGAATCATTTCTTGGATTTGAGATAAGTTCCTGCTTCAGAGTTCACCTTTCAAGGTCAGGGCCTTATCTAAATTACCATCACTTGCAAGAGAATCCAGTTTTTTAAAAATATTTATCTTTATTGATTTCAAAGAGAGGAAGGGAGACGGAGGAGGAGAGGGGGAAGNAATTTATCTTTATTGATTTCAAAGAGAGGAAGGGAGACGGAGGAGGAGAGGGGGAAGAGAGAGAAACCTCAATGGTGAGTCATTGATCGGCTGCCTCTCGCACGCCCCTGGCTGGGGATGGAGCCCGCAACCCGGGCATGTGCCCTGACCGGGAATCGAGCCACAGTCTCCTGGATCCTAGGTTAGTTCTCAACGTCTGAGCCCCGCCTGGCTGGGCGACAATCCAGTTTTTAATTGCGGTCTGCATATGCTCAAAATACTGCCAAGCTGAGTTATGGGAATAGTTGTGTTTTAATAGCCTCCTATGGAGACTCGTGATGCCCATACAGCCCGTGGTATCACCTCGAAACTCCTCGATTCGCCATTGCTTGTACCCCCTTATGTGCCCGTCCTCCGTGGGGCACAGATTAATTTGTTCCTTGCCTCCACACCCGTTACCCTTGCCTTCCCTAGTAAACACACTCTTTTTCCTTTGCNTCACACTCTTTTTCCTTCGCTTCCCTTCCTTCAAACTTGCCCTAAATCTACTTCCATGTATTTGCCTGNACTCTTTTTCCTTTGCTTCCCTTCCTTCAAACTTGCCCTAAATCTACTTCCATGTATTTGCCTGTTTAATAGCTTGATTCATGGTTAGTAAAGTTTTGTTTTGCTAGGATTCCCTTCCATATTAGCGATGGGAGAGGATCTGTGCGGGTGCTACCTACATGGCTGAGGGGACCCAAAGGACTTCCTGTAGACAGAGAGGAGGTCCCCTGCTTATAGATTAGTTAACAGAGAGGTCACCCGGTGTTAAAAGTTGGCTGAGCCACATAACAGTACTTGAACTGAGTTTTGCTATTAAAAGCATAGTTGTACTACTTTTATAGCTTTTTATAAAGGTCATTATATATATTTTAAAAATATGTTTTTATTGATTTCAGAGAGAGGAGAGGGAGAGAGAGAGATAGAAACATCATTGACTGGCTGCCTCCTGCACGCCCCCTGCTGGGAATGGAGCCTGCAACCCAGGCGTGTGCCCTGACCGGGAATTGAACTGTGACCTCCTGGTTCATGGGTCAGTGCTCAGCCACTGAGCCACACCGGCTGGGAAAGGTCATTATATTTTTAAACAGACATTTATTAATCATTTTAAAGGAAAAAATCTACCTTGGCAATGTTATGAGGCAAATGTATTTATATCGTATGAATTTCACTCTCTGTTCTTTTCTAAATCCAAAGAGCAAATTACCAATTTTGTGTGTGTTTTATACAAATACTTTAGGTGAATTAAAAGAAATCAAGCAAGATATCTCCAGTCTTCGTTATGAACTTTTGGAGGACAAGAGCCAAGCGACCGAGGAACTCGCCGTCCTAATTCATAAGCTCAGCGAGAAGCTGAGCCCCAGCGCGCCGAGATGTGAATGACGTGGTGGCCTGGACTGCGGCTCGGACTGTAGCACAGATGTGGGCAATAATATTTCTAAGTGTGAAGTACTTGAAAACCATGGTGTACATTTTTAGTATTAACTACCTTTATTATGTGAATGTTTAAAAGTTAGGTCTTAATGATTTTACTGTTTTATCACATGCAAACGGTCTTTATTTTAATTGTCTGCCTTGAAATTACAATGACACGCCATTGTATTTAAAGGACAATTACTGCCATTTTTGTCCATTTTAGAATGAACTTTACTACATCTTTGCACTATCTGTTGGCCTCCAAGAGACTGTAAGTAAGCTCCTTGGGGACAGGGACCATGTCTTACTCATTTTTATGTCTCCAGCATCTAGGACAGTGCCTGGTACAAAGTAGGTGCTCAGTAAATGTTGCTGAAACCACCCAAACTGAACTGCCAACAAAATACAAATACAAATAAAAAGGCCATCACTACGTAGCACACCTTCTCTTGTCTAAGTGCTAAAGGGTTTTTTTTAAAAACTGAAACTGTGCCGGCCAGCGTGGCTCAGTGGTTGAGCATCACCCTATGATACAGGAGATCACCGTTTGATTCCCAGTCCGGGCACATGCCTGGGTTTCGGGCTCGATCCCCAGTAGGGGGCATGCAGGAGGCAGCCGATCAATGACTCATCACTGATGTTTCTCTCCTTCCTCTCCCTTCCTCTCTGTCTAAAAAAAACAATAAAAACTTTTTTTTTAAAATTGAAACTGAAGACATTTTATAAGCAGCCATGACTTGGTCAGATTTTCTTAGAATTTTTGGCATCACTGGTAGTCCTAGAACCTTTGAGCCCCGAAGGAAGAATTTAACAATGAAGTGGGTCAATAGAAAATGTAGTTATGTTAATACATATTTAAGTTTCATAGAATTGTTCAAAGCAACACATTAAAGATTTTTCTAAAGTATATACTGTTCGTTTTTTGTCTTAGATTTTTATTTGTTTTTCAGTCATGTGAATTTAGTCAGTGGGATGGTGGAATTTTTTAAGGGGGTTCTGTAGGGTTGTTATTGTGTTATTACCTTCTGATTTCTGCCTCTGATGCTTTAATGCTAAAGGTCTGGACCACTGACTTCCTCTCTTGCCCACTTGCTCCTTTCTGAGTTTTGGAGGACATGCTTATGCGAAGGAAGAGGGCAGAGCAGTGGCTGTGCACCTGGAGAGGTGTGTCCCAGTGTCACCAGGTGGGTTTCACTTCCCCTCGAGGTTTCATTCTTCTTGCCCTGGCTTACAATGATTGACATCCTGTTTCTGATCAAAGCATTTCAGTTACCCTTGCTACACAAAACAGATTGTGATGTATCTGTACTTGGCTTATTATGTGACTGAGCTGAATGCTGGTAACGTCTACCACGCCTCATGACATTAATAGGAAAGGAAATACAGGCTAGTAAGTTCCCTTGTCTCTTCACAGACCATAAAACACTCAAAGTATTTTCTTTTTATCAGGTAGGTTTAAATGTCTCATAGAGCTATGTTTAACTTCCTAGTCTCTTCAGGCTGCTCCCATCAACTCTTAGAAGAACACAAATCGTGATCACACCTCAAAAGTAGTCTTATAGGCCCTAAACACCAGTTAAATACATGACACTTTAAAAATCATTACTCTCATGCATTAAATGGAACTACATAAAACTCTTTAAAGAAGATTTCTTAATTTCTACTTCTTGGGACTTAAAACAATTAAATTAAGAAAAGAACTTTATACATTTTTGCTACCATTGTAGACTATTTCATTAACTTTTGTGCTATTCTAATAGTACTTTGTCTTAAATGTTTTTCAGACTTTATGTATTTTATGCTATGCCTCAGAACTGAATAAAATATTGAATTTTTTCATTGTTATATGTTACTGTACTATATTACAACAGGAAAGATATGGAGTTTACATAACAGACAATTCTCTCAGTCTTACAGTATTGTCTAGGATTCCAAGTGTGGATGTTTTTGAATGGAATATTTAGTAATATTCCTGATTGGGAGTTGGGGAAATGTTGAATGGAAACGTGTCAGATCCAGCTGGAGATACTCACCCTAGGATCCCTTGAGTCTTGAATAAAGATACGGCTCACAGCATTTTTTTTTTTTTTTTTAAGTCCATGCCTCCCACAATTGTAGAACTCTCAAAACAGATCAGACAACTTCCTTTCTGTTATGGGCTGAATTGTGTCCCCTGCCCAAATTCATGTGTTAAAATCCTAACCCCAGGGCCTCAGAACGTGACTGTAGTTGGAGATGGGGCTTTAAGAGATAATTAAATTAAAATGAAGTCATTAGAGTGGAGCTTAATCTGATATGACAGGTGTCATCGGAAGAGGTGGTTAGGGCACAGACACAAAGGGAAGACTGTGTGAGGACACAGGTTGAAGATGGCCAAGGAGAGATGCCTCAGGAGATTGGTTGGGTTCCCTGCTGACACCTTGATTTTCTACTGCTGGCCAGTGAGATCCTGTAAGAAACTAAATTTGTTGTGTGAGCCACCCAGCTGGTAGTACTTTGTTTTGGTGGCCCTGTCTCTCTAATACACCATCCAACCCCCTAAACTCTACACAATTCTATGCAATTCTGTTTCACCTTTTTCTCTGTGGCTGTTTTTTCAGTTTACTTCTAAAGTTTATCTGTATTTTTATTGAGTCTAAATTAACACATATCTCCCCAAGTTGCTACACAGCTAACCCATCTCAAAGCATATTATTTTAATTTGGTTATTTTAGCCTCAGAAAAAAAATTGTCTGGAACACCTTGGAATTTGGGCAAAACCTCAGATCCTTCTGTTGCAAGTAATTTATCTTCCAAAGAAGCAACTCTTTTCAGGGGTTTAATTCCTGATTCACAGTCAGTTGCGAAGTCTTCCCTAGTAGACCACATAAACCAGGAAAGGGACAGTACCTGCAGCACTTCTGTGGGCAGAGCACACTGTGTAGCCAAAGGGTGGGCTGGTGGACAGGAGTCAAGGAATGTCAGCTCTAGGTCAGATCCTGGGTCACCATAGGTCAGCAGTAGGCTGAGGGCCCCTGAGGCCTTTTCAGGGGGTCTGTGATTTTGAAACTGTTTTCATAACACTAAAACGTTATTTGCCTTTTTCAGTGATGGTACAAAAGCCATGGAGGTTAATACTGCTGGCACTTAAGCATGAATCAAAGCAGTGGCTTCAAACTGTAGCAGTAGCCTCTGTATTCTTCACACCCACATTGGCAGGGAACAAAAGTTTCATGTAAAAATGTTCATTATGAAGCAGTAAAAGTTGTTCATTTTAAGTCTTCACTCCTTGAGGATCTTTTTAACTATGCTGGGTGATGATATAGGAAGAATGCATAGTGCATTTCTACTAAATACCAAACTACATTAGTTGTCTCAAGGAAAAGCACTGGTGTGATTATATTTGGGTTGCTAGCTGAACTCATTGCTTTTTTAAATGGAACACTTTTTTTTTTTGAAAGCACAATGAACAAATTATGATTATTCAGACTTGGATATTTGGCATGCACTTTCTTGTGAATTGAAGAAGGGAACCTGTTACTTTAAGGAAAACAGTTGACATTTGTTACCAATGCTTAAAATTCAAGCCTTTACCCACAAATTAGAGTTTTGCTAAATTTGTATCCACCGTCTGAGCTGTGTATCCACAGCTTTCCAATACTTAAAATCTTTTCTGATGAAATCTGTAGTGATATTAACAAATAGGATTTGGGGATGTTGTATGATGAAGCCACATTCAACACTGCAACCAACTTTGGACCAAATTTTCTTCATATACTTAAAAAAAATCCACCCACACATATACCAATAGGTTGAATGCACAAGTAGAGTTGGGACTCCTATTTACTATCCCAGTGGACAGTAAACAGATTTGTAAATAGCAGTAATCTTTCTATGTTTATTTTGGAAAATATTGTTTTTCATTAAAATATATAATTTTACTTTTAACATTTAAAAAATATATACATTGAGTTCAGAGAGAGGAAAGGAGAAGGAGAGAGAGATAGAAACATCAATGATGAGTCATTTATCGGCTGCCTCCTGCACGCCCCCGACTGGGGATAGAGCCCACAACCCTGGCATGTGCCCTGGCTGGGAATCGAACTCGATCGCCTGGATCCTAGGTCGACACTCAACCGCTGTGCCACGCCCGGCCGGGCTACTTTTAACATTTTAAAATTTTCAGTTCTAATTTCTAATACGGTAAATATCAATAGATAACTCATAAACAAAAGGTATGTAGGGTCCTCAAAAGTTTGTAAAAATATTGTAAAGAGATCCAAAGGCCAAAAGTTTGAGAACTGCTGATATAAGCTAATAACGGTGGAACTTAATTCGTTGAGGGGTCCTTCCCGATGTCAGAGAAACAGGTCCGAGCGTACACATCTTCACATCCACCCTTTACATCCAGAGAGACTTAGAAGTGCGCCTCGGGCGGCGCTGGGGGCGGAGCCAAGACTGCGTCTGCGGTCTCCCTGGAAACCACCCCTCCGGCGCTCAGCCCCTCTCCTCCTCTGATTGGAGCAGCTCGGGAGAGGGGCGGAGCTTCCCTTTGGTCCTTGGTCCCCCTCACGTGAACGTATTGACGTCACGCTGGACGCCACAGCCCAGAAGCCCCGCGTTTTCATCCCCGCCGGGACCGCTGCGGCTGGGGTCGCCCTTCCGAGGGGACGCGACCTGTTTCCCCTCAGAAGCCTGGGGTCCCGCAGCCTCCGTCCTCCTGGTCCCGGCCCGGCCCTGCCCAGCGCGTCTGTGCCGCCGCCATGGATCTGCATTTGCACCGAGCGGATTATTTACAGGTAAACCCGAGGGGGCGGGGCGACGCCGTGCGCTGTGGGCCCGGCTCCCTTAGAGGCTGCGGTCGGTCCTCCCACTGGCGTCCGTGCGGTCGCGGGGAGCGGGGCCCGCGGCCAAGTGCGGGGCGGGGAGCTGCCTTCGGGTCGCCCTCCTCCCGCGCAGCCCCGGCTGGTCCGTTACGGTCCACCGGGACTTGGACGAAGCTGGCGCCCCGGCCCCGACGCGACCCCGGGTCCCGCTGACTCTGAATCTCCGCCTCCCCCACGCCATCCCCGGAGCGCCCCTTATTTCTTACTGTAAGCCGGACCCCACCGGCCAGACCGCAGTCGGTGTGACAATACCCACAGATATTGAATCCCCATGGAAATTCTCCGAGTGGCCCCGTGATAGCTGAGGATCCGGGGGCTCGGAGGAGGCAGCTTCTGTAGAAACAGCCGCCGCGTCCGGAGCTGGCGACCCCTCCGTGCCCCCGCCCGCCCCCGG